GGTGGGCAGCATGTGTCTGTTTGGTAAACAACCTCGTATGAGGTTGAAGTTGTGGCGTTGTGCAGTCGCAGCGTGTGCACTCTACCTTCAGCTGACGAAGCGCTGAATCGTGCAAAAGCTCTTTGAACTGTGCCTGTCGAATCTTGTTGTCGTTGGAGGCGTTTCAGCGTGGTTATGTTTACGTGTGACACGGTGGTATTTCTGGAATGTTTTCCCAGCCTCGCTCTTCTCCTCTGGGATTCACAAAAAACGAAAGTTTTACACCTGCAGATGAAGTTGTCTTATTTCATTGCGGTGCCTTTGGGCGGCGTGTGTGTGAACGACAGGTTATGAGCACACCATACATCAAAAAGGGAAGAGAGAGCAGAAGTTGTATTTCAGCGGAAACATGCCCTCAATCACAGAGGTCAACAAACTTGTCTTGCTGAATATGAGGCTCAGATTGTTTTATGCGTGCAGCCTTTAATCACTCATCTTCTGTGGTCTGAAGCCGCATCTAGCATCGGCATCTGCCTGGATTACCACGGTGGTGTAATGAGTCACCTTTCTTTAGATGCAAAATGTGTCCATTGCCAGCTTAGGTCAAACACACCCGTAAATCTTCTGCAGGAGGAGTCTCCTTCCTTCTCCTTAACGTCCTCTTCTATAGATTCTTGTCCTGCTCGTGTTGTTCTCCTCAGAAATGAACTGTACACTACTCGTACACGCAGCAGCCAATCCCAAACACAAACATACTCCAGTTATTCCTGGAGGAATGCCCCCCCGCGCTACAAATAATCGTCTGGTTTGAAGGATCAGTGACGCACGTTTGTGGTTTACAGCCTCACTCAAAGGTCGCGGCCACACGTCGCTTCCAGGAACCGCGGGACACTGACCCCCTCATTCCATGGGCTCTTCTGTGGGAAGACATCTTCCCGCCCTGTAAGACACAATAGGAGGTTCCACGACCGACCTTGACCACAGACTCTAGAGTGTGAGAACTGCATCGTGTTGTGTTTCTAAATGGCTCCCAGGTGTGGCTACCGGCGACTTCCAGCAACTAAAGGGCATCAACAGGAACTCCTCAGCATCAGTCACAGTTTTTGCAGATGTTACTTGATAAATCATTCACTCCGCTTCTTTTGAAGTGTGTTGTGCCCTTAGATGTGTGTTAATGGTTGAGTCCAAGTTTCAGGATTATGCAGATTACGAAACAATTGGGGAGATCATGACTCATTGCGTCAGACATAAAAGTTCATGGGGGCATATTTCCTAAGAAATGGCTATTAGTCATTGAATATCGCCAGCAGGAAAGGGAAGGCAGTGTCGGTCTGTGCAATCCCATCTGCTCCTCAATTCCAGGGAAGTGTTGAAAAACAGTGAGTGTGTGACGAGGACCACAAGATGTCCTGTGCTGTTCCATACCTGTTATTGAGCGGTTAAGTGCCTCGGTACCTCTCTGATTGTTTAACTTTGCTCTCACATGATCACTTGTCTGCGAATCAGATGCATGTCTCTAGGTCCCAAGGTCCAGATTGAAGCATAAAGGATATCGGGCCTTCGCAGTATTTGCCCCTTTAACTGTGGAACAGTCTGCCCCTTCACATCAGCCCCTCACCAACACTTTGTGAGGGTGATGTTTTACACCTTTGTGACATAAATTCAATTTTAATAATTCATGTTTTGTCAATTGGAACAGCAGTAATGTGAATTTGAGTGTGTGTGTGTAACGAGAACAAGTCAAACATCAATATCAGGCCTTCTGCTTTCAGCTGCAGATCATTTAAAACCATTTGTTACTGAGCGCGTCCTAACAACAATCAATGCCCACTCACGTCTCCCCTCCCCCCGCTCAGTCTCTTTTCTCTCTGTGTCTTTCACCGCTTCACTCGTCCATAAGCCGATGAAAACGCACCAGCACAGAAAGGGTTGGGATGTTTGTTATGTTTATTAGTAGTTGTGGTGTTGAGGCCGACAGCAGTTCCCTCCTCCTGATGTTCCTGGGGCCTGATTTGTGGCATCTTGTCCTGATAGAAAACAAGATTTAACAGGAATCAGTCTCTCGCTTTGCCTGGAGTTCTCTGGAATGTTTGTGTTGGGGAACATGATTTTTCTCCTGCGAGGGATGTTTACGTGAAACAAGTGGGAAACAAAATAAAGTGCGGATCATGCGACTGGACTGGGCTCCCGGTTGTGTTTATGAGAAACTCTCATCCGTCTCTATTAAGTAAACATTTCTGCTCAGTCACTGGATTGTCTTGTGTTGGGATGTATGTTAAGATGGAGGCTGGAGAAGAAGAACAGAGCCTGAGATTGTGCTGATAAAACAAAGACAGTTCTCATGGGCTCTTTTAGAGTCTTGCTACACATGTGATGTATCTGTAAAACTCAGTCGGACCTCTGCATCAGATGCGGTAACTCTGTATTCCTCTCTTGTTATGCTGTGTATTGAGCAACCACCCTGGGTTGAGATATTTTTTCTGTCTGGTTGACAGGCAGCTGATGTTAATTATTGTCCTCTCAGTGTTGGCTGCGTAGTGTGAGAATTAGATTCAAAGCTGCTGGACCTTTGGTTTAAGGTGGAGCAGTCTGTTTAGTGTTCAGACAGTAAAATGCTTTGTGTTTATCTAATAGGATTGTTCCTACGCCATGGAAGTTCGATTTTCATCTGTGTTTGTCTGTTACCATGAAACTTATTGGGAAGATGTGAGTCAGGGAAGAACCCAATTAATGTTGTTGTGGATCCAGATCGGGGGCGGATCCAGGATTTTTTTTTCACTTTCTTTAACATTGTGAGATTTGAAAAAAAAATCACACACGTTTAATGAACTCTTATCTATGTGGTTTCATAAGGAGACTCCTGGGCCTTGGTAGAGGTATATGTCCATTCTAGTATCAATGAATCAACCAATTATTTTCTCAGTGTATCTCTAATTCTCTCTCAGTCAGTGTGCCAGAGTGTTCTAGAGTCCTGAATTGCCCCCTGACGATAGAGAAAGTGCTGCACGTAGATGCACTGTAAATCACTTTGAGTGGTCATCAAGAGTAAAGTGTTATATAAATACAGAACATTGAGAGAACAAATTGGATTGCTTGTTGTAAAGGGCTTGATTTGTGTGTTCATCAGATTAACACTCAAAAATATTTCATAATAAAAGGCAAAGAAAGCTGCACAGTCTCAAATTTGAGAAACTAAAACCAGCATGTTTAGTTGAGGCTGACATGTTGACAACGTTATAAAAAAAAAAGGCTCCGTCTTTCCCTCAGCTTTTCAATGAATCCACTAATAATTGCAGCTCTGTGTTTCTTGGAGGCCTGATTCATTTGTTGTATTCATTTCTTTCTTGAAATGTATTTTCAATCGCGCAGTCCTCAACAAAGTCAGGAATGCAGTATGCACGTCCTATTCAATTATACATTATAAGTTCTATTCATCACTTTAAAATCAATCTTTAAAGCCACATCACAGACTTGTTAACCCGCTGTGGGTGCTCACTTTCATCTGTGAGTGGAGCACAGTTGGTGACAAAGTGTGAGTGGGCCCTGAAACTGGGGAGGAATTAACCTATTGAGATCAGACAGGCAACATTCTTAGTGTAATTTAAATCTTCTTAAAACATTTTTTATTATAAAACATTTATCAATGTTTGACATATGTAACTTAACTTAAAGGTCCAGTGTGTAAGATTTAGGTGAAAGGGATCTATTGGCAGAAATTTTATGTAGTATAATCCTCATGATGTTTTCACTTGTTCATTTCATCTAAATTGTATGAATTGTAGTTTTCTTTAACCCCAGAAAAGGCCCTTTATATTTAAATACTTTATATTTACATCGAGGGGACCCTCTCTACGGAGGCCGCCATGTTTTTACAGTAGCTCAGACTAAATAAACTAAACATCTTTTGAGTTTTTATGACAACTGAAGCTGCCACAGGTTCTTTTTCATGTTTGGAAGGAGAGGGTGAGGTGAGGGGTGTTCAGCTGCAACATGTAATTTCAACACTAGATATCACTAAATTCTACACACTGTACCTTTAAGCACTGTCCCTTTGTCAAAGGGCTGTATAAATAAAGTTTATTATTGCACTGATTCTAAATCAGGTACATATCAACATGGCCGAGCTTGTTGACCATATTTAAGCTGTTAAGTTGTAAATCCCTGTGGCGTAAGCTTTTATTTTACTTCTTTTAAATCAGGAGGTTTGAACTGACAGACTCTTCCTGCCTTTAACGAGGAGTAAACGCAGGGTTTGGGTGAGGGCCCTGTGGGTGGCCCTGTGGGTGAGGGGTTAAACAGGACAAGAGGTGACTGTCAAGCCTATCAGGTAACCGTTACCAGGGGCAGCCACTCCAAGCATTTAGGGGGGAGGTGTATTTATCCACGCTCCTCCCACGGCTCTGTTATGACCTATAGAAACCACACTGGGTGTAAACTACAACTGTTAGGTTCCCTCCCCAAATATAACTCAAACCACAATGGGGAATGTACACACTCACACACACGCACACTAAAACACAATCTCAGTCATGTAAGTCGCTCTAGTCAGTGCTCCTTCCTGTTTTTCACTAGTTCCGTCTTCTCCCGTGCCGTGTTTGCATAGACTGGGCTGAGGAGGAAGTCCTGAAAAAAGTTTGCCTGTAGAGCCACGAAACGGGCAAAGAGGAAGAGAAGAGCCACATGGCGTTTTTCAGAGGAGGACGTTCAGGATGAGGTTGTTGTGCTGTGACATTTGCCCCCCGGGGCTGTCTGCCATTGGCCATGAGGGATTTGAGAGATGGTGTTGAGACGAGCAGGGAGAAATATACCTTTGAAAGGAGAGGAGCGACACAGTCTGTGTCAGCAAAGTGTACGAGGGGAAGAGCTCCAACCAGACAAACCAGATTCCTCCCGATGGATATTGGAGGGAAGCCCTGCCCTGAAGCCTCAGAGACTGTCGACGAGTAGCCGTCAAACTCCAGACACTCTCGCTCTCGCTCGCACACTAACACACACATCAGTGGGGGGAGAGTGAGTTGAGGAGAGGGGCCTGAAGGATGGAAGCACTGAGAGACTCTTTTCTCCATTTGACTTTTCAGATGTCAACGTACAAAAGAGCAACGCTGGATGAGGAAGACCTGGTGGACTCCACCGCTGACGACATCTATCCATCGTCACCCCTGCAGGTAAACATGCACAAAACACCTTGTGCTGAAAAGAAACAGAACACAGACACCTTGTCATTCCACATTACATGGGAAAGAACTGTAGACGCCTTCACAACGTCTGTGTGCCAACGTAAAAATCTACTTACTAAAATGGTTTAACTGCAGATGATCATCCACTAATTCTGGGTTTTTATTACTGTTTTGAAAACTGGTGCATGTGTTCTCAAATCCAGCTACACTCATTATGAGCTCAACACACTGTAGCCTAGTGTACTACTGCTGGTACTTTTCAAATACTACTTCAGTGGGATATTGTCTGTTGTATGTTGCTTCTGATACAACTCACTCGTCCCTCTGTCTCATTTTATATTTTTTGAAGGCCTGAATTTCAAACAGCCTTAATATTAAGTTACAGAGTCACATCAACCTGCCTTTACGTAAACAGACAGTGATTAAATCCTGTTAATCTTAAACCCTTGTATCAGTTACGATTAATGAGGATTTAATCTAATTTTAATCCTGTGATTGTAGATTATATGCTAAAGAGCATTTTGGAACTGAATCCCTTTTGTTAAACAGCTCAATGCTCACACGTTTAAAAGTGAATCCAATTTCTAACATGAACCCACATGTGTAAATTGTGTTTAGTATTGAGTCATTTCTGGATTTTCTCTTTCTTACTTGTGGGTTTAAAGATGACATGACTAAGCAGGGTTTTCTGGGCACTCTTTAAAATCTCTTCTAAAGGATTGAATTGCCTTTTATAGTATTAGGGGCTTTAAAGTTTTAGGAGGTTGAAGGAAGGAGATGTTTAACTGCAGTCAGATCATTCTTCAGATGATTTATTGGATCAGAGCTCAGAGACTGCCATGATTCTGCCTTCATCATATCTCCACCATGCATTGGTGCTTGTTGCAGGTTTCCAGTTCAATTTGAGCAGCTGAAAAAAGATCTGCTTTCCAACTTGGACATTTCACCAAATCTGTAAAAAAGCCATTGTCTGACAATGTTACAGAAAATGATAAAACAATTCTTGGACCCACAGCAACATTTAGTGGGTTCTTTCTTGGCCCATGTTGCATACTTGGAAGTTTCATGGAAATCCGTCCAGTAGTTTATGTGTAATCCTGCTGGAAAACAAACAAACATAAGGACAGGAGTGAAAACGTGGCTTGACAGTGACGATTCACTAAATTCAAACTGAAAACATTAAACTCCAAACCAACCGAACTCATCAAGCTCAAGAGTTGAAGAAGCCACTTTGGCTCATAGCAGTAAATCTGATCCTTATACATGCACTCCTCAGGGGTTAGTAGAGCTCCACAAGATATATGTGAGGTCAGAGCTCTGGCCTTTATTTACAGTTTACCCAGAGGTGAGTGGCCCTCTGGAATAATTTCTATAGGAAATAAATTACCTTTGGCTTTTACTAAGAGAGAAGCAGCGTTTGCTGCACCAATCATTCCATCAACAAAAAAAAGTGCATTCATTTACCACAAAGACAGGAAGTTCCTCCAACTTCTAAATTCTTCATCTGGGAATGTTTTTTTGTTTTTACTTTTTATCTGGAGGTGACTTGTGTTTGGTTTGTTGTCCTCGTTTGACTCTGTCTCTTGACTTCCTCATCACTTTACAGGTCAACCACAAAATCCTCAGATACGGTTCAGCAGGATTATTGTGTTTTATTGTCAATCTGGGGCAGAAGGAACATTCTCTTTATGACTTTGTGTTAAACTAGAGGAGAGGGAACAATAGGAAAAGGCTCCTCAGTGTAGGAGGGTTGAAAAGGTCGCTGAGCTTTGAAACCAAATCAGTCATCAGATCCTGGAGAAGCAGTTTGACTCCAGCACAGTGACATTATTAAGTGTTTGTGTATCTTAAAGCTCATTTCTAAGTCGTTTTATGCCTGTTTCAATCATCCTCTTCAAAATTCTCATATTTGACATTTTTGAAATGAAGCACTTTTTAATTTTCTATTTGTTCGTGCAGGTGAATCTTCTGCACGGCCGCGGCCCTACATGTTGTCCGGACCGGACACAGAGCGAGAAGCGGGTGCTATTTCTCGTGTGCATCGTGTCCCTGGGCCTCTTCATATCTCTCATCACAACTGGGGTCTTCTACAAACAGAGTGAGTCTGAGGTTCTATTTAAACTCTGTGATGCTGTGAAATACACTGGGAAACACCTGCGTTCTCTGTGAAGTAGGCTGACCGGGTGACTCCAGATTGAACTCTAGCTCGACCAGTGACAAACGGCCGATATGAGCCTCATACATCGTAAAAAACATTGTTGGTGTTGTTTGCCAGCCGATATAAGAAGGACTGATATATCCGCCTGATAGTTTGGCCTGTGGTGATGCTGTAAAAGTGACCTGCAGTGATTGAGTCGGGGACAGTAAAGACCAGCTGCTGGAGCTTTTCACCTGTTTTTAAAAAATTTCATGAAGCTCGACTCAGTTTGCAGTTCTGGCCCTGCACTTCCTTCGTCCCTGACATTTTAAGCCGATAAGATGAACAGTTACATATTGGTATTGGAAATTCTTTACTCCCTTAAATCGAAATGAGCAACGGCCAAAGTCCATATCTGTCCGGTTGTAGATCAAGCTGCTTCTGTCCTATTTATTCAGTTTTCTTTATATTTATTGAATATGTTGTCAACCACCTTCCCAGAAACAAGAATAATTGACAGTAAAAAAACTCCCACACACTAAACGGTGGAGGGCTTGAAGAAATATTTCAGCGATTCCAGAAATATGAGGTTTTGTTTTCTCGTTGAGAATCAGAAAATTGATACCAGTCCCAAATATGAAGCTGCAGCCAGGAGAGGGTTAGCTTAGCGTAGCAGAATCACTAGAAACAGGGGGAGACAGTCAATCTTTGTGCTTAAATAAGCGGCTGGTGGCTCCAGCTTCATATTTATCTTACAAATATGAAAGTGATGTTGATCAACTCATTTTGTCTGCAAGAAAAGGAATAAGGATATTTCCTACAATGTCAGCTGAGACCTTTTATTTATTTATCAGAACTGTTTCAATCATCAAAACTGGTTTTGTAGTGATAAAAGTGATTAAATGTCCCACGAGCGTCTGGAAATAACCACGTTTCTGTGTGTAATTGTTTTAAATCAGTTAAAAAAAATTTAGAAATGAAGCTGATTTTATTAAAACAAGTTTGAGCTGAGAAACAAAAGACAAGTTAAAAAAAGATCTGTAAGTTCTGAGAGGCTTTTAATCACAAACAGGACTGGGACAATTAAAGGAGAAGTTCGGTTTTTTTCAACCTGGTCCTTATTTCCAGCATATGGTTTGTAGATCTACTCACCCATAAAGGTTTGGAGTAACTTGGAGTCCTTCGGACGCTTTTAGATCCACACGCGATCGGCGTACATCCATACAACGCAAGTGRTTKGGGSMWYC